TAATCTTAATCCAGTTTTTCAATTATCTGTAAGTGATTCTGTATCAGATTTTGGTTAGATGAGATCAAAGCGAACTCCAAATTGTTAAATTAGTGAAGTTGATCGATTGATTGCCGACAATTTCCTGTTTATTTTATCGATAACAATCGTTATTTTAGTTCCACCCTAAACATGTTTCGTAATTTGGAATTTGTAAATAAATTACAACTTTGATTTCTCGTAAGGAACAGAGGAAAATATATTGATTTTTCTTTCTGATTTTTGTTATTTTTATGTCATTAAAGAGTTAAAAACAATCAAAGTAATTTCAAGACATTTTTTAGATTTTTAAATTCAAATTTCTGTTATTTTTCACGATGAATATCAGCACTTTATCGTATTACTTGCCATTTTTAAGTTATTTATCCTTAAAAACCCTAAATTAAATTAATTAATATTTATAAACTACATTAAATATTTATTTTGATTCCAGATTTTAATAAAGAAATGTTTCGTGATATAAGAAAAAAGTAGGATAATCTTCTTGTATTGTTTTCATTAAGAAAATTCTTAATGATAAACAAGAAAAAAGATAATTTTTATGAAATTATATTCTTTCTTGCTCATTTTTTCATACTTATTCATAATTAATTTCAAATTTTTGCATATTTAAGTGGAAAAAAATAAGATGAAAAAATTAGAATTGTAACTTCACTGAGAAAATTACTTCATTAAAGTAAAGAATTTTTTAAAAAATTGTTATAAAAAATAAAATTTGAATTTATTTCTTATCTTTTAAATTTTCCAATCATAAATAAGTTTATTTTATTAAAATAATTGCGGTTTGAGTCCAGATGATATATGAACTCATGTCTTACATAACGTTTTATATATTCTAATTAGATTTTTAAATTATATATTACAGAAGATGATATTAAACTCATTCACAAATAATTATTGAGTTTTGATTCAGTTATAATCTGAACATTCTCCTATAAGATGGGTTCAGACTAAATATATTATTATTTGATACATTACGAAACGAGATAAGCTCGTACTATGTTCAAATAATTACTGGATTTGGATACAAGTGGGTCCGAACCCATGTCTTTTCTATAATTTATTAAGTATGCTATTAATCGTTATATTACAGAAGGCAATGACATATATTCTCTATGCTTTTATAACATATCATATATTCTAAATATATCTGTTGACCATTTAGTGGATAAACTAAAAACCTGTTTCCTGAAAATGAATGTTTCCTGAAAATTATTTATACAACGTTAAAGATATCCATATCATGTGTATTTTAACATAGATACACAATGCCAAATATGTGTCTAGAAACACGAGTCCAAACACATATTCAAGTTCATTTTTTTAAATTTCAGTCTGTTTTTCTTTCAGTTCATTCCTAGTCTTTACAGATGCAATTTTGTGAATTTTACTCAAAAACAAATAGTTGTGTTTCCTGCGCTTTTTCTGTCAAAGCATTTAATGTACTTTGACAACATAATTTCAGCTTCCTTATAGTTAACGATGGCTTTGTAACTGTTGTCAACTTCCTCAGAGACTTTCACACTAGTTCTTCATTGCTTCAAATCGATGAAGAAGTAGTGACGCATTGATAAGCGAAATAATGAGGCATAAACATGTGCTGCTACTTACTATTTAAAGAATAATTTAAATTCATTCGAAGAAAAATATAACTTTTGGGAATTGATATTGGACTATTACTTAATTTTATCTCATCAAGTGGATAATACTATAGGACCCTAATAGTCACGGATTTGTGCAAGTTTTCCGGTTTTTTTCACGTGTTTAATACCTCAATAGGACCAGTTTTTCATTGAAAGCCTCCCTGAGAGGCACCTATATTTTACGTTGCCCTATCCTATCCCATAACTCCATTCTATCCTATCCTATTCCATCAACGGCCTTTGCTCCATTCTATCCTGTCTCATAAATGGCCAATGGAACTCTAGTAGTCACGGGTTCGTGCTTTACCTCTAAACTGTCCACGTGGAGTTTTTCGGTTTGTTTCACATGTCCTTAACACTTCAATAGGACAAATTTCTCATTGAAATCCTCTGAGAGGCACATATTTTACGTTGCCTATCCTATCCCATTACTCCATTACTTAATTTTAATTAATTTAAGTTTTATTTTCTATTTTATGAACATTACTATAGTTATGAATGTTCNTTAGATAGTTATACACATATAACACGTGCTAAATTTTTAAAGTTTGATTTAATTTGGAAGTATATTATACTTAACTATTGTTTAATAATTAAAATAATTATAAATTACATTTTATAATATTTATTAATTAAAATTATACATAGAATCACTTAAACCTATAAAAATTTAAATTAATATTTTAGAAACTAAATAGATTTAATTATGCATAACAAATTTTTATGTATTTTTTAAGTTAAATTTGTTTAAAAGCAACGAATTTTCTTAAAAACAATTCACTGAGAAAAAATAAATAAATTCTGATAAATGTAAACAATTGATTTGCTGGTAACTTTTTAATTAACGATATTCGGCCAATCATAACACAGTATACACGCTTGTTAACCACGCCGCCTAGTATTACGCTTTTATTCCCAGCCAATCAACCATCGAGAAATATCAATTTTTAAAATGCCCTAAGGTTTGTAGATATTCTGAACCAAAAAATTTCATTCGATAAATCTGTCGAGATGTCACTTATGATTTATGAAGATCGACAGCTTGTGTATTTATAAAATATTTTATATCATATTATAAAATCTATTCTGTAAATAATAAAATAAATTATGTAATTTTTAAATTTTAAGTAAGTAAATATATAATTGTTTTTTTTTTTTAGGGAATTGCCAGAATCATCGATTATATTACTGAATATCGTTATTACTATAGCTGTTACTCAAGTGATATTTATGACTGGAGTGAACTCTACTGCCAATCAGGTGAACATATTTTATTATGTATTATTATTATTTTTTAAATGATATGTTTAAAAGAAGTTTCAGGCAGGAAGATCCATGTTTTTAAGTCTTACAGTCTCGCTTTATGGGTGTTTTATAGAAATTCATCGTAAAGCAATCTTTGTCTTTGTCATAGGATTAATACCAAATTCTTGCAGATAAATATTTTGATTTATATAATGCTTTAAGTACCACATTTCACATAATTTTATAGTGGTCGTAAAGCGAAAAGATCTAGGTTGTATCAATATATTTTCTAGTTAATGTGTCACTATCGAAACCTTATATGTGTTATAAGAGTATTTTGGTCTGAAACACTATAAATTAATAATTTATTTACGATTTATTAAAATAGTTAATTAATTTATGCATATTCTGCTTTTTCATACTCTAGCTTGGATAATTTAGGGAGAGTCAACAGGGACATTCTTTCTCAATTTATTCTCGCATTTCCTTGTTGAATCTGAGAGATGTTGTTACTTCTCAATTCTATCGGTCTCTTTCTTCTCTGTCTCCCTTAAGAACTTATTTGGTGAGTTCATTGACTCGGACATGATCAAATCATTTTAGTTATTTTTTTTTTTTTTGTTATTGATGTCTGACCTTTCTTTGTCAACACTATTAACTTTGTCTTCTGATTTTCTCATTTATAATGCCATCTGTGTAGGGAGTGCTTAGTAATTTTCTGTAACGTTTTATGTCGAAGGCGAATAGTTTCTTTTCGTCATCAATATAAAGTATCCAACTTTTTGTTGCCATAAAGAAATATCAAATTTAACCAAAACATCGATTGACAATTATATCTTGTTTAGGTTTAGTCTCACAAAAGTTTAGTATTTGTAAGCTTGTTATAATCTTATCTAGATGTTTTTCCTGCTGTCTTCATGGACAAATACTTCTAAATGGCAAAATCTTTCCATTTCTTTCAGTGTTCCTCCGTCAATATCCACTTAACAATTCATATCTTTAATTTCTTGTTAGATAAGGATAGCCCAAAATTTCTGATGGTATTACAGTATTTAACTGAGTGGAGCACGTTATGTTCATTCTCTTCCCATGTTGTTAAGAAACAGTTGTAACAACATTGTTTTTTATTTATCTTTTAAAATTCTTTACTTTTAATTGATTAACTTATCATCTATTAGTTGTAACATATTTAAGATATTTATCTCAATTTTAGTAGTGTCTTGCCCCTGTACATCGTGCTTTTCCTGTTAGCAACAGAGTCATTGCGGTCATATTCTTATTTTTTAGGATTTAATACTTAATTTACTCATAAAATTGTTAGTAATATGCGAATAAAAATTAGTTTTAAATACTAGAAACAACACTTTGTGTGTAAACCAAGTAGTTTCAGGTGTAATAACGAACGGATGTAATTATGCTGGCCCCTGAACAGCGAGGGAAGTTTGTTTTATTGTGTTTAGACAATCACAAAATGAGAATCTGTACAAGAATTTTATTGGTGCCATCCAGATCTTCATGAATCTTCACATAAAACAATATCCTATAGAAATTTAAGAAAACATTCAGTTTCCTGGATGAGAACAAACTCAACTCATTGCTTAGGGGTTAGCTTGAAATAATAACAGTAATTATCTCGATTGACCAGCGACTTTTCGGCCACACTGTATAATAATAATAATAATAAAAGAAGAATTAAAGTATTATATTATAAGATTTTGCACATTTAAAATATAAAAAATAATATATTTTATATTCTTATTTTATAGTTCCATCCATTATCTCTAACTGTCATTAATAAACCTATCATGTTGAGCTGCTATAAGATGGGTTCAGACTAAATATATTATTATTTGATACATTACGAAACGAGATAAGCTCGTACTATGTTCAAATAATTACTGGATTTGGATACAAGTTTTACGTTGCCTATCCTATCCCATTACTCCATTACTTAATTTTAATTAATTTAAGTTTTATTTTCTATTTTATGAACATTACTATAGTTATGAATGTTCTTTTTATAGAATCATTAATAGCATGATGAAATTTAAATATTTATATTTAATAAATTAGTATCAGATAACGAAGGAGAGATATACATTGTGATCTGGTTGAAAAATCTTGGAGAATTGTTAAACATCAAAGATTATTCTGTAGTCAGTGATATTGTTATTGTAAGAAGTATAAGTACCACTGGATATACAATGTCTGCTCCTTTTGATTTAATATTTAAAAAGATAACGGTGAGTTTGTTTCTGTTTTATTCTTGTTTTTTTTCCTTGNATTATACTTAACTATTGTTTAATAATTAAAATAATTATAAATTACATTTTATAATATTTATTAATTAAAATTATACATAGAATCACTTAAACCTATAAAAATTTAAATTAATATTTTAGAAACTAAATAGATTTAATTATGCATAACAAATTTTTATGTATTTTTTAAGTTAAATTTGTTTAAAAGCAACGAATTTTCTTAAAAACAATTCACTGAGAAAAAATAAATAAATTCTGATAAATGTAAACAATTGATTTGCTGGTAACTTTTTAATTAACGATATTCGGCCAATCATAACACAGTATACACGCTTGTTAACCACGCCGCCTAGTATTACGCTTTTATTCCCAGCCAATCAACCATCGAGAAATATCAATTTTTAAAATGCCCTAAGGTTTGTAGATATTCTGAACCAAAAAATTTCATTCGATAAATCTGTCGAGATGTCACTTATGATTTATGAAGATCGACAGCTTGTGTATTTATAAAATATTTTATATCATATTATAAAATCTATTCTGTAAATAATAAAATAAATTATGTAATTTTTAAATTTTAAGTAAGTAAATATATAATTGTTTTTTTTTTTAGGGAATTGCCAGAATCATCGATTATATTACTGAATATCGTTATTACTATAGCTGTTACTCAAGTGATATTTATGACTGGAGTGAACTCTACTGCCAATCAGGTGAACATATTTTATTATGTATTATTATTATTTTTTAAATGATATGTTTAAAAGAAGTTTCAGGCAGGAAGATCCATGTTTTTAAGTCTTACAGTCTCGCTTTATGGGTGTTTTATAGAAATTCATCGTAAAGCAATCTTTGTCTTTGTCATAGGATTAATACCAAATTCTTGCAGATAAATATTTTGATTTATATAATGCTTTAAGTACCACATTTCACATAATTTTATAGTGGTCGTAAAGCGAAAAGATCTAGGTTGTATCAATATATTTTCTAGTTAATGTGTCACTATCGAAACCTTATATGTGTTATAAGAGTATTTTGGTCTGAAACACTATAAATTAATAATTTATTTACGATTTATTAAAATAGTTAATTAATTTATGCATATTCTGCTTTTTCATACTCTAGCTTGGATAATTTAGGGAGAGTCAACAGGGACATTCTTTCTCAATTTATTCTCGCATTTCCTTGTTGAATCTGAGAGATGTTGTTACTTCTCAATTCTATCGGTCTCTTTCTTCTCTGTCTCCCTTAAGAACTTATTTGGTGAGTTCATTGACTCGGACATGATCAAATCATTTTAGTTATTTTTTTTTTTTTTGTTATTGATGTCTGACCTTTCTTTGTCAACACTATTAACTTTGTCTTCTGATTTTCTCATTTATAATGCCATCTGTGTAGGGAGTGCTTAGTAATTTTCTGTAACGTTTTATGTCGAAGGCGAATAGTTTCTTTTCGTCATCAATATAAAGTATCCAACTTTTTGTTGCCATAAAGAAATATCAAATTTAACCAAAACATCGATTGACAATTATATCTTGTTTAGGTTTAGTCTCACAAAAGTTTAGTATTTGTAAGCTTGTTATAATCTTATCTAGATGTTTTTCCTGCTGTCTTCATGGACAAATACTTCTAAATGGCAAAATCTTTCCATTTCTTTCAGTGTTCCTCCGTCAATATCCACTTAACAATTCATATCTTTAATTTCTTGTTAGATAAGGATAGCCCAAAATTTCTGATGGTATTACAGTATTTAACTGAGTGGAGCACGTTATGTTCATTCTCTTCCCATGTTGTTAAGAAACAGTTGTAACAACATTGTTTTTTATTTATCTTTTAAAATTCTTTACTTTTAATTGATTAACTTATCATCTATTAGTTGTAACATATTTAAGATATTTGAAATAAAATTAATTGCAATGAAGAAATAAATATAATTTTTAAATATTAATTTAAAACGATCAAACAATAGACCTCGCTTTACGACCGTTGTCTTGAACCTCCGACTTGTATTATAATTTTATGATTTATAAAATGGCATAATTAAACACCCATATTGATATAGTATTGTACAATTAAAAGTTCATTTCCAAAAATAGAACTCCAGTTTATTATGCCCAGTCTAAGAATAATTAGATTTCGATTTACGACAGAGGGTTTTCAAGAATTTTTGTAGTATTAAATTGAAAATTGTATTTTATTCATATATTTGTGGAAATTTTGTTACATTTTTATTATTTTATTAATAGATTATTATTTTAAAAATACTTTTTTTATAATTATAAAAGAGTATTAACATTTTTATTGTTAAATATAGCAACGATTCTTGTTTTCAAAAGATAATTTTCGTCAATATTATCCAACAATAAATTAATCTTGAATTTTTATTGTTATTTTTATAGAGATTGAGATAATTTCTTCATTCTCAGATTTTGATTCGATTGATAGAAATGCCTTGGATTACAAATTCAATTTTGTAGTTCTTCCTTTCGATTTTTTGGTTTTACTTATTGTTTCCTACTCGACTTCTCGATTTATCCAACTTTGTAGTATTTCTTCTTTAGATATAGCTGTTTTTTTAAATAATTTTTTCTTTATTGTAGTTTTCCAACTTTGTATTTCTTCCTCAATTTTTGTAGACTTTTTGAAACTCTTTCTTTATTGTAGTCCTCCAATTTTGTAGGTTTTTCTGTAGACTTTTGTGTGTCTAGTATTGTAATTTTTCAATATTATAGTTCCTTCTTTAGATTTTTTTGTACTTCTTTCATTGATCTACTTCTCCAATTCTGTAGTTTTCTTTGATAAGACCATAATCAGTTGTAAAACCATCTGTTAAAATTTACACTGATATTTAATATTATCCTTTACTGTTTGCCCTTCAAAATTTGGTAGAAGGAGTCTCAAGATAAACTTTTATTTTTGTAGAAATTCCTAATAAATTCATAGAAAAATTATCTTAACATTATACTGAATATCTTAAATTGTCTCGCTCTTATTATTTTAGTTTTTGAAGGTCCCGTAGCTTGGAAAATAAGTGAGATAAATTTGTAGATATTCCGACAGCTTTCCAGTTTTAAAATACGGGACATTATTATAATAATATGGAAGTAATATAGAAAGTTTCCAGCTTGTTCGTAATTACCACTGCTTTGGCATTGGTCAATCGTAGCAGGAGAAGGTTTGTTTGCTCAAGTGTGTCCTCTATGTTGATTATCTTCTGTAAGGTTGATTCAGATAGAAAGACGAACAGAACTAATCAAAGATAGAATAAACAAGTAGTTGTAATACATGTAGGCTAATATTTAGGTAACCACTAGAATTATTGTAAGAATCTTCACAGAATTTTAAGCATTTCAACAATGGCTTATAGAACTTCTGTGAACTTTTGTGGAGGGGAAAAATCGTCACGTGTTTCACAGTTTTAGTGACATTTGTATCTAGATAGAGGGATTGTTGTATTATTTTGAGATATAGAAGCGATGATGTGTCATATCGCGAGTGGGGTCGGACCCAATAAAGCTTTTACTCGTTATTAGCATTTGCAATTTTCTTTTTTTTTTTTCTTTTTTTTTAATATAAAACTCATCTCTAGTTTCAAAATTACGCTTTTTGCCATTTTATAATAATTACCAAATATAAAAAGTTTTTAAATAAAATATCATAATAGATGGCGCCACTACATTTTAAAACTTTTTGTCGGGAAAGTTACGCAATTAACTGCTGGATATTTTTTTAAATCGATAAATAAATACTTTCATTAAAAATAAATTGTCATTAAATTTATACAAAAATGTATTATTGATGCAACTCATGGTCTTATTTAAAAAATATATTATTTTGCTTTAAATGAGTAATTTCAAACTTGTAATATTTTAATTAAATACATAATTTTTTACGTAAGAAATGTAACTGTTTTGTTTAAATTGAGGTTGACCAAAAGGAAAATTATTAAAATACCGCAAAACTATTTAGTAATTAATCGCAGTTTTAATCTTACTAAATGGTCGATAATTTAATTTTTAAAATATCCCGGCGAAGATCATTTATAAACACACATTAAACGTTAAGAGAGAGAGAGAGAGAGAAAAAAAAAATTAATCAATAAAAATATTAAAATCACTTTATATCTTGACATTATTAATCGAATTTGTCATCTGCACTCAACTTTCATTGAGTTATAATTAACTCTAATTATAATTTAACTTAAAGTACATAAAACGAGTTAATTTTTTTAAATCTTATTTATTAATGAACATTTAATTAATTTTATTAAAAATCGGTTATTTATTTACTGTTCTTGATGTTAAAATAATTAAGAATTTTATTTATTTATTTATTTTTTCTTGAATTTTCTTCAGAGAGTTTGCCATTTTGTAGCATTGACTCTGCATTATTTTCATTTGGTAACGAGCTTCTGGTTACTTATCTACAGTATGCATTTATATCGTCGATTAAATCAATGTCAAGATTCTCTTAGTCGTGGATTCTTTTTTATTTCATGGACATGTCCTCTTTTTATTGTCATCATTTCATTTGTTGTCAATCCTAGAGGTTACGAGACTTCCAGATAGTAAGTAACAACTAGATATTATTATATAAGAAACTTCATTATCTTGTCTAAATTATCAATTAATTTATAGCTGCTGGCTTTCGATTCATCGTGGGATGGTGTTATCATTTGTTGTTCCTGTTACCTTTCTAATTATGGTATGGTTCTTTGAAGATTTCTGATATTTTTTCTCCTGTTTTTAGTATCAGATATATACTGTATTTGTGAATTATCACTTACAGATAAATACTGTTATAATGGTGATGTCTCTGAAAACATTTTTCGACCAAAGACCAGTTATTCACAAGTCTGAAATCGATAAAATGAGGTAAGATGGAGTTTTTTGATGGTTAACGTAGTACGGCTTTAAGTTATAGAACAGGATCTTCCAAAATAAATTCTACCATTTTAAATTACTGTAATTATGTTAATTATTGGAAAGGTATGAGATGTACACTAATTGATGGAGTAATTGTCTGGGTTTCATCTCCCATCTGCGTTTAAACGTCTTGTTGTTTATTACCTGTAGGAAGCGCCGTAAACAGTAAACGAAAATGGCAACTCCTGTAGAGAAGGCGTTTTGTGTTTCGCAGTTTGTAAAGTCGGAATCAATCATCATTGTGTAACGTGAGTAAATTGCAGCTGTAGAATTGTGGCTGCTATGGAAAGAGTGACAACGGATATATAGCGAGTATAGGAAGAATTTGAGTATCGGTTGCATGTATGCGATGTGACACGAGCACACATATAAAATTGTAATGGACAAATGTAGAACTTGTGTCCAAGTTTTCCAATGCTTTAATGTATATTACAACGTTCTTAGCATTCTTTTTGCAAGATCCTGTATATTAGAGGCTTTTCTTACCCAGTAAATAATAATAAAACACGAGGTCCTAACTTAAACGTGTACAGTGACATCCAGCTATAGCTTGTTTATCTTGTGTGTAAATTCGACCCGGCTCACATGACATTGTAAAAAATTTCTGAAAAAATCTGAAAAAATTATTATTTTCCACAGGATATCTCTGCGTACAAGTGTAACATTATTGCCTTTTGTCGCCATTAATTGGTTCTTTGGCGTACTGTCACTCGAAGCCACCTACACCAATGTCTTCCAATATACCTATTCTCTTACTAACAGTGCTCAGGTAATTAAAGATTATATAATTAATCTATATATTATTATAAAAAACTGGTTTTATAATATAATTCCATCCCCTTAAAGTAACTAAGGATACAATATAAAAATTATATTTTGCATTTGTTCATTTCTCATATCATTCTTTAAGAGAACACAAAAATTACTGCATTTTCAAGTATAAATTTATTCAAATAACAGTGAATAGTATAAATGTGGAATAATTATATAAAGAACAAAACAGTTATTATTTTCATAGTTAATACAGTTAATAAAATTCAATGCAAATAATTTATTTTATTTTTAAGAAATTCATCATGCTCCGTAAAATACTGCAGAAACTATGTTGATAACCTGTAATTATGGATAATACGAACAACATTACACAATTAATATACTGCCTTTGGCACTTTTTTCATGTCTCTAATTGTAATGACATGGAAAATAGAACAAGCGAAAGAGTGATTATTTTTTCCTTCAACTAAAAGTGAACAAGAAGAAAATTGTAAGAAGCAAAAACTAAAAATATTTCCAACAATCGTTTTTCATTTTTGAGAGTAAATTCGAAATTATTAATGAAATATATCGGAGAAAGCAACGGGCCTACCCCGATACTGTCGATACGGCTATTGATACTTTTTCCCGGGTATCGGATACAGTATCCTTACATTTTCCGTCCGAAATCGAATTTTGCAAACTAATCAGAAATTGAAATGGATTTTACACTATTTTCGGTTTCGTTAAACTTATATTAAAAGTATTAATAGCCACAAATCAATAAATGTAGTACGTAAAATTTTATTTTCCAAATCTATATATGCTTATTCCATCGCTTCTTTCTTAATTCGTAAACCAAATGGCTTTGGTATAGATCTATTCCGAATTTCAATTGTCTAGAACCGCAGAAAACCAAGTAATTACGCTAGCATTTGACACGTTTATTATTATTTTCTCTCTAATATAAATGCATTTCGATCGCACCGTCTTAGTGATTCCTCTTCGGTATTACATCTAAAAATAATACAATACTTTAAAAAATAAAGATAAATACAATTCAGGTTATTACAAGGTTAAAACGTGATTGCTCACAATTACAGGTTTAACAAACGCATTCTCGAGTGGTTCGAATGAATTCACATTTACCTATTAGTGGGATAAGTCTGATGACTACAGTATATTTTAACTGTTATAGAATATATCCGGTATTTATAGTATTTGTATAGTCATATATATAACTGATGCATCTTTCAAGTGAAATTCGAAGGCTTTGACAATAAACTACTGGTAAAATACTTCTGATGACTCTAGTGCTTATAATCAGACATGTATCTAACATATCCACAAGAATTTTCAACAGTATTAACTGTTGGTGATGGCTATATATACGTTATTCTATGTCATATTATAATACATATGCTTAATAAAAATAATTCATACATAATTATTACACTTAGTTCTAAGTAGTATTTATAAATAAACATTTTGTTGAACATTATGCAGTACTTTTTAATTATTATTATTAAATGCTTTTACTTAACTTGCTTTGTATTTTTCTTCAAATCTTGAAACTCAAGTTTCATCCACTTCTAATTAAGATAAAAGACTGAAATTTTGACACTTTCCTAAGTCTAATGACAACGTATTTTAATTATATTTAGGGGGTGGCCCACCTCTATATTCTCCTCATTCTGAAACCCCATAAACATAACCAAATGTTGAATTCAAATACATTCAAAGACAGAAGAAAAGAAGTTTAAAATTAATTATTTCATTAAGAATTATTCATTTAAAGATAAAAAATGTATTTAATACAATATAATTTTATACATTATGTCTCCAAGTTATTAAACCATCTGGGAAATATAAAATAAGAATTTTACGCACAAAACGAAGTAGAAGAAACTGCTAACAAGATTTATTGGAGATTTAAAGATTGTGATTTATTGAAAAGTACATTTGCGAAAATATTGATTTTAAATTAATGGATTTTTCTTCTGATAAATGGATATTTGACCTGATAAGAAACTATATATTAAAAAATCTTGAATAATCGTACTACTGTAGTATTGACAACTATATTATTCAATATAGTTGTCAATACTACAGTAGGACGTGACGATCGAAGTGTCATTCTCATCTAGGGTCAAATGATGTTGAAAAATCATTGTGTTCAATGTGTTTACAAATACAGAAAAATTAAAGATTAAGATTATTGAGATTATTGAATATAAACAATCATAGTAGAATAGTTTAATCACATATTCAAAGAAAAATTTCATCAAAATAGCAAGCAAAAATAGATAAATAAACATATCAAACCAGTTGAATAGTTCAAACTTTAACAACTTTTTCAGCATAAAATGTTTCTCTAGACTTAATTAAGAATGTGTGGGACCCCTCAAAATTAAGTTTTTATCAAAATTTATAAATATATAAATTTATTCTCTTAACTTTTACTCTAAAATTATAATATTCAACTTTATCCCAAGCATGAGATTGGAATATAAGTTTTTAATATACTTATCTACATAATTTTTAATATATTCTTACGTATAAAATATTTTCATGTTTAATATTCAAAGGAATATAAAGTTTTAATAGAAAAACTTGCGATATCATTTTAATAAAATAGATGTATTGCATATATATATGAACATCTAAAACTTCAAGATAATTTAAAACTTCTTAGAATTTCAGATGCTATAAAATCATAAATCAAAATTATATGTGGATATCTTAGCAAAACGCTTAATTTATATTAATTATATGATAAAAAATGATAAAGAGAACCATATTCTGCGGAGTAGATTAATTATTAATTTTCTCCTCAGAATATGATTCTCTTTAATGACTCTTTAAACAGCATGAAAAATGAATAGATACGTCTATTCATTTTTCATACTGTTTATAAGGTTGATAATCAAGTTATTGGACAAAAAATCTTATTCTTGAAAGACTGTAGTTCTCCAGTTCTGAGTTACTGAAATTTTTTGGGATGGAATCATCCCAAAAAAAAAAAAAAAATGGAATCCTGGCTGTTTGAAATCCATCTCTTAGAACATTCCAAATTTACTTTACTGTATTCAGGTTCAAAGATCTTTCTGATCATTCCATTTATTCTGTTTTATCCATAATTCATAAATTAAAAATCCATATAAAGAATAAAAGCTTAAAGTTCAACGATCTCATCTTTATATTATTGAGTAGTTAGAATACCTCCATACCACCATAATTTCTCTTCATACAAACAATAATCAGTTGTTCTTCTTTTGAAATATTCTATTAATTGATAAATAAATTGATGAAAACTGTTTACTCCAAGATAATTTTTTAAATAAAGACAATTTAAACCTGGGTTAACCCATATAAACTATATTTTTTCAGTCATCATGGAATAAAATGTTCTGTGGATTTAATTTATCTAATATTTTACTCTTGCTGTTTATTATTTATCATATTCATAAACATCTATATATTAAAATGATATTTCTAGTTATTCTAATATACATTTCTCAACAAATATATTTATTTTTCATACTTTCAAATTTCTTCTATCTTCTCAACCTTCCCTCCTCCTCCTCCTCTTCCTCATCCCTCATCTTCTTCCTTTCATCATCCTAGACCTTAGACTAGGCATTATCCTTACTAATAANAAGCTCTGCCATTGTTTTTAATTTAGTATGATACTTAAATGAGTGAATATTTATTTTATAGTAATGAATACAGTTAAGTATTTGCTAAAGATAATTTTGTTACCTAATTTAGAAGTTAGATCTATGTAGTTGGATTAATAAGTCGTTGGACTCACATGGATGGAGAAACAAAAAACTAAAATTTTTACTGACAAAAACACATTATGTATAGTACATTTATATTTTAGTGTACAAGCCAATTTGTTCAACACACTTTTTCCAGTGGCAGACAAGCTTTTCACATGCCTATCTGAAGAAGGTTGGAGAAAGGGTGCTCAGAAATTTGGATACTTTCTCCTCAAGCTCACCAACCAATGAGAAGTGTTGTCAGATTTTTTTTTCTTTCCAGCTCTCAAAAAACAGCAGAGTTGCTAGGTGAGATTAGGCCTGTTTGGAGGTTGTGGGAGCTCTTGAAATCGTCATTGTTTAATTGTTGCTTTTAAAACATGATTGGTTTGGACAATTTGATATTCTATCTGCATCTCCATTTTTTCAACTGAGACAAGATTTAAAATAGTACAGTGGGTGATCGGTTAACGAACATAAAGAATCTGTCTAATGTCGATTGCTTTTATCTTCAGGATTTTTCAGAAGTAATTAATAGCTTTATAATTGTACAGATCCTCAAGCCTATGAATCTCAATCTGGTTTGGATGTCATTCTAAGACCGTTGTTCTGACATCCTCCCACTTCTTCAAAAGATGTTTAATAGCAGATATTTGCATTAATCCTCTTTTTCAGAAGAAAACATATCTCGCCGAGTTTCTTGGTGTTCTTCATTTAAGAGTTCTTGGCGTTCTTCTGTCGTCAGTTCCGTTTCAGGTTCCATTATGAACTCTTCGATGTTCTTTATTTCTCAGATGTGATTTTTGTTACTCCTTTAGCTGCTTGAGTCTTGTTGATTATACAGTATTTTTCTTAAATAAGATTGAACTGCGGCCTACTGTAGACCTGTTCACGCCATACCGCCCAGCAACATTAGGCATCTTCCGTCCACTCTCTACCTTTGCTATTATACTCTCACCTTTCGAAAAGAAAAACAGACGCAAAACTTAACGAGTGCCTACCCGACAGTCTCGCGAATACATAAAAGAATTGTTTTGTCAGAAAAATAAAAGTCTGGAATTACAAGGGAGAGGTTCAAAGTTCGGAGAAATACTATCCGATCGGTATATACCGGCTTGAGCGTCGATGTCGACGTCTCCCGCGCTCCAAAAAGTTTCGAATTGTTGTCCGAAGACAAGGGAAGACCAATCGGTTTCATTATTTTACGTCGCTTCTTCTTGTGTTTGTTCTGTGGGGTGTTCATTATCCGATCACGTGTTTGTAGTCCGAACATAAAAATCTTTCGCGAAAGTGTTCGTTATCCGATCTGTTCGTTAACCGATCACCCACTGTATTTATTATTTAAATTAAACTTGAACACTCAAGAACCCTGAAAATCTAAAAATATCCCTAACAGAATTGTTTGTGTCCAAGTATATTTTGCATTATATCTCAGGACTGAATGAACCAAAATTTTTGAAACTTGGTAGGGTTATTTCTATATATGGAGCATTGATGCTGTTAAATTTTGGTGGTTAAAGGTCAAGGGGATGGGAAGATAGAAAGGATTATGTCTGTAGTGAGGTCAGACTTAATGAAAATTTTACTTGTTATTGTAATTTACAATATTTTTAAAACTCATCTCTACCCTCAAAATTNATTAAATGCTCAAAAGTGTCTATCCATTCTATAATGTGAATATAAATATTATACTGTATATTTTATATGAAAACAAGATTTTTAAATTTTTTAGAAAACAGAATGTTGGAACTATTTCAAGAATATTACATTAAGATGATTTTTTAAAATATATTTATAATTTAAAAAAGGAAATTCTATTGATTATTTAAGTATAAAAATCTCCAAGGTTGTGGTATTTTGTTTCTTTTTACAGTATAGTACTAGAAAACTTTCTCTAAATTTTATAAAAAATTTATATAAACTTTTAAATTTTTATAAATGTAAAGAAATTATAAACTTTCAATTATTCATTTTCTGTATAATGAAATGAAAACAGGATGATAATTTTCTATTGATATTTAATTTTATTTAGTTTTGCTCCTTCACAGCATTTATTGAGATAAACAAGAAAATATTGTAAAGAAATAATAATTTATAACTTATATAATAACTATAATAAATAATTAGAATTTTTATACCAAAATCTCAGTTTAATTTAATATTTATTTTCTATTTAATCTATATGTTTAAAAAAATATTTACTCTTTCTATAATATTAAAACATCAGCAAACATGCTCAGAATTACAAATTCACTTTATAAATTATACATCATACAATATATATTCTCCATTGATCACAAACAAATATTTTTATTTCATTCTAGAATTGGAAACAAAAAATGCTGACTTATATAATTGTTTACTGCATTACAGCATTGCTCTATACATATATATATATGTAGATTAATTCATGAATTTAATTAATTAGGATAGAAAGGTTGACTCTTTCTGTCTAAATATTTAATAGGTATGAAGTTCCTATTATTCTATACAGTAGAAAAGAATCTTTTATATAATTTGTTTACTATAAAAGGAGGAAATGTTACTAGAAAATAACCCTCTTTTAAAAATCTATAATTTATAATTACTTTTAAGATTAAAAATATCAATTTTTGTGTTTTAATATTATACTTAACTTTTTAATTATTTAAAATTTATTTATATAATATCATTTCATAAATTATATTTGTTTTTCTCATTATATACTTAAAATTTTAAACTGAAAATGAACTTTTTAAAATATCTTTACACTGTTTTAATCTGCAAAAATTACTGTAAAATTGTAAAGAAAAATGAAATAATTCATAAATTATGTTAATAATATAGTCAAATGTCTCCTTTAAATAAAAATATATTTTTTTTAAATAAATAGATTAAGAATTTTAAGAGCATTTATATAAAATTTGAATTAATTTAGATAATATAATATTTTTATAAATATAATTTTGTAACTTATACTGATAAAATGGCTCTCAAGTAAGTATATTTTATTTATAATAGAAATGAATTGCAGTTTAAATAGATTTAAAAATAAATTTTATATAACATTACAAAGTATTTTAAATTTAATTAAATTAATTCCAGATAACACATAGCTGGAAAACAAAATTGAAATGGAGAAGTAAGAGGAAGAAGTTGACAGCAATGAAATTAAAAAGAACATCAATACTTACATCAAAACCATCAAATTTAGCCACTATTGACTTACAAGGTCGTGACTCTCAACCATTATTAATTAGTGCTCCTGTTCAATATGCTGTCATCAATGATCCTTGTTGTTCTAATGTTCGCACCTAAACAAAAAAAAAATAACTGAGGAGCGAACGAAAACAACCGAGTTGAATTAATTAAGCCGGAAAAAAGAAAGTGTGCGTTATAATCGAGAAAATGCGTATATTGGTATTAAATCTGTCTTATAAAATCACGACAAACTCCTGTAAATCGAGTTATCCGATAAGAATAAAATACAATACCAATATAGTCCTGTCGTTGAAAAAATTCGCTTTTATTTGCTCACCTCGAGTTTTTCTTAGTAGAAATGGCTAAAAAGTGCGCAAAATATGTACGGAAATACAGTATTACAGCACCACCTGTATTGGACGACCACCTGTCTAAAAGACCATTTTTTGAAGGAACCGTAGGTGGTCGCCATAGACAGGTTTTGCTGTACAATAATGACTTATTATCCCTTATTTGTTTCTGTTTTAATCATCTTTACTTACTTCCATTGCTATGTATTTGATAATTAAGTATCCTTACACTTCTCTTGAAATTTCTTCTTAACAATATATCATTCAAAAGACTAACTTTCAGAAAATTTCTCTACCCTATTATCCTTCAGATTTCATTGCACTAGCACGAATTGAGGTCAGTTGTACAAGATGGTTAGCTTTACCTAAAACTAAATAAACAGGGTGATAATTTGATATTAGGCAATTGTATCTCTGACAGGTTCTGTGCAAGGATCTTGTTTCCAAACAATTCAAAAAGCAGTGTGAATAATAATCAGTCAAATTTTAATATAAGTAAAATAAAACTCAATAAAGAAAAAATTAAATGCTCAAAAGTGTCTATCCATTCTATAATGTGAATATAAATATTATACTGTATATTTTATATGAAAACAAGATTTTTAAATTTTTTAGAAAACAGAATGTTGGAACTATTTCAAGAATATTACATTAAGATGATTTTTTAAAATATATTTATAATTTAAAAAAGGAAATTCTATTGATTATTTAAGTATAAAAATCTCCAAGGTTGTGGTATTTTGTTTCTTTTTACAGTATAGTACTAGAAAACTTTCTCTAAATTTTATAAAAAATTTATATAAACTTTTAAATTTTTATAAATGTAAAGAAATTATAAACTTTCAATTATTCATTTTCTGTATAATGAAATGAAAACAGGATGATAATTTTCTATTGATATTTAATTTTATTTAGTTTTGCTCCTTCACAGCATTTATTGAGATAAACAAGAAAATATTGTAAAGAAATAATAATTTATAACTTATATAATAACTATAATAAATAATTAGAATTTTTATACCAAAATCTCAGTTTAATTTAATATTTATTTTCTATTTAATCTATATGTTTAAAAAAATATTTACTCTTTCTATAATATTAAAACATCAGCAAACATGCTCAGAATTACAAATTCACTTTATAAATTATACATCATACAATATATATTCTCCATTGATCACAAAGAAATATTTTTATTTCATTCTAGAATTGGAAACAAAAAATGCTGACTTATATAATTGTTTACTGCATTACAGCATTGCTCTATACATATATATATATGTAGATTAATTCATGAATTTAATTAATTAGGATAGAAAGGTTGACTCTTTCTGTCTAAATATTTAATAGGTATGAAGTTCCTATTATTCTATACAGTAGAAAAGAATCTTTTATATAATTTGTTTACTATAAAAGGAGGAAATGTTACTAGAAAATAACCCTCTTTTAAAAATCTATAATTTATAATTACTTTTAAGATTAAAAATATCAATTTTTGTGTTTTAATATTATACTTAACTTTTTAATTATTTAAAATTTATTTATATAATATCATTTCATAAATTATATTTGTTTTTCTCATTATATACTTAAAATTTTAAACTGAAAATGAACTTTTTAAAATATCTTTACACTGTTTTAATCTGCAAAAATTACTGTAAAATTGTAAAGAAAAATGAAATAATTCATAAATTATGTTAATAATATAGTCAAATGTCTCCTTTAAATAAAAATATATTTTTTTTAAATAAATAGATTAAGAATTTTAAGAGCATTTATATAAAATTTGAATTAATTTAGATAATATAATATTTTTATAAATATAATTTTGTAACTTATACTGATAAAATGGCTCTCAAGTAAGTATATTTTATTTATAATAGAAATGAATTGCAGTTTAAATAGATTTAAAAATAAATTTTATATAACATTACAAAGTATTTTAAATTTAATTAAATTAATTCCAGATAACACATAGCTGGAAAACAAAATTGAAATGGAGAAGTAAGAGGAAGAAGTTGACAGCAATGAAATTAAAAAGAACATCAATACTTACATCAAAACCATCAAATTTAGCCACTATTGACTTACAAGGTCGTGACTCTCAACCATTATTAATTAGTGCTCCTGTTCAATATGCTGTCATCAATGATCCTTGTTGTTCTAATGTTCGCACCTAAACAAAAAAAAACACANACGGGTGTATATATATATATATATGTGTGTGTGTGTAAAAAAAGAAAGGAACAGTTTATAAAATATGCAAAATATTCAAAAAATTGTTATACAATAAATATAGGATTGCATGTTGCTAGATATTTTAAAAAAAAACAGACAATTCTTCATATTGTAGGATGAAAGGATTATTTTGTAGATTGGCATTTTGAATTGTGGTTTTTTTCAAAAGCAATCTATAAAATTCAATGTAAAAAAAAAGTCACAAAAAATTACAAAGGTTTGTATTATGGTCCTAGTCTGTGATAGTTTTTCTCTATATATGATAAATGATAGGATTGAGTTAATTATCCCTGTGATATATATAAATGGAAATTAAGTGATATAATTAACAGATTAGTGACCAAATTAATTATTTAAAAGGAAAAAGTATTAATTTAAATATCTCTTATGATATTTAAAAGGAGTTTCTTAGAAGAAAATAAATAAAAAGTGTCTTATCCTAGTTCCTCTTTCGAACAAATGAAAACAAAACTACTGCTCATTTCACTTATTTCACTCAAAGAAATCCATTATAAATCTTAAAAAAAAACTCAGTATATAATATATATATATATATAAAATTTTTTGAAGTTTACATCATCAATTTCTGCACACACAAACAAAAAAAATCAATTGTATGTTATATAAATTTTAGAAATTAGATGTAAATAATTGACTTACTTTTCTATTGAAAATTGTAATCTTAAGGCTCTGCGTTGATCATTATTATCACTATTATCTGTTTAATTACATCTTAAAAAACAAAAAAAAATAAAAAATTTCATATATATAAATATGTATATTAATTATTCTAATTGCATTTATTGTAAATGCACTTCTTTTATCTTATGTAAATGCTCTGTCTTCTTACACATATTTACTATTATAATTACAAGAAAAATTGTTTGTAAATGGAACTGATAGTAGCATTTAAAAATACTTATAATAATATTAATAAAATAGTTTTAAATCTTTCATATGAGGAAATTCTATTGATTATTTAAGTATAAAAAT